TTCCAGGAGCATTAGAGGGGGCGAGCTCAAAAGTGGAGCAGCCAGGACTAGAACCAGAGTTCACATGGGATGCCAGTGTTGGCAGTGGCTTCACCCCACTGCACCCAAATGCTGGCCCCGGGACCGTTTTCTTAATTGCAAAACTTTCTGTTTTTTACCTTCCCAGTGAATCCACAGATATTTTTGTTACCGAATAGCACTGTGTGTTTAATATTGGAAAATGAAATAATTTTAGGAAAAGAACAGATAAATGCTGAGTCAAGTCATGTGAAGGGCAGGAGAGGGCATGCTGACCATCCTTAATAACCCATATTCTATGTAGGAGTCTGTGGCACATGTGTTTCTATGAGCCCTGTAGTTGTAGCTATTAAGGCAATAAGCTGGCTGCATACAGTCGCGCTGTAGATTCTCTGAAGATGAGCACTTTGTTTTGCTGGCTCATGGATTTCTTGGACCTCCTGTAGTGCCTGACAGTTCCTCAGTAATAGGTGTGCTGATTTGCTCTCCTAAATATGCAGAGTGAGCACCTGTCTGTGGATGGCCAGCTGTGCCTCTGCTGAGTGCCCGGGGACTGTGGGTACTTGAGCGAGGCATGGTTAACCTCTGCTTTGGATCTGGAGACCTCGTGTTGGCGCTGGCTTGTGACGCATGGACACTCTCACTGTGTCCACCATACTCGGGCCCCAGCAGCTGTTTTCTGCCCTTAGGTAGACTTGCCCTTGTTTGTTTTGCTTGTGTGTGCTCCCTTAATTCTGGAGAAGGCACCACTGCTGGAGAGAAAGTGGGGTTTATTTGGGAAGGCAGGAGACAAGTCACCCTAGCCTTCTTACCTTATAAGGAGACCTGGCAGGATGGGACACGCTCAGAGCCTCACCAAATGGCTTTTGGAGTTTTAATTTCATTAAACTTGACCCCAGACATAACAGATTTCTTCTTTTTGGCCTTCTGGTTTGGGCACATAGGGACTCCTGGCCTGCCCAGGTTGTTAAGGGGAGAGGGAGTTCTGTTTGTTTCAGAGCTGTGGTCTCCAGGACACCTTCTTTGGTCCTTTGTATTCTTAGAAACCAAGTCACCTCTTGGCAGACCAGAGGCCACTCAGATGCTGGCGGTCAGGGTTTGCTTTCAGGTCACCAGCCCTGGAGGGGCGGTGCCCAATTTCCTCTGGCGAAGACACTCTGCCCCTTTTCTGTTCACTGCAGCCGCTTGGGCCCAGAGGTACCTTCCTCAAAATAGAAACATTTGAGGACTCTGGCAGGCACGTTTGCCAGTCTTTGTGATTTTGTTGCATAGAATTTCAGAAATGCCGTTTAGCCCCATCCCCCAACAATCGACCTTCAGGAAAAGGTGATCTTGCAGTATTACCTCGGGGAGACAGTGTGGGTTTTGCAGCAAACCCAAGTGCTTTGGCACTGACAGATCCAAGTTTTATTCTGAACTCCGGGCCCACTCCCAGATGCACGCACTTGGGCAGGTCGGTTGTCCCTCAGCTTGTGTTTCCTTCTCTGCAAAGTGATTTAATGAAGTCCACCCCACAGAGTGGTCACGAGGCAAGGATTACCTGAGACCGTGCGTTTGGAAAGCACCTTGCTGGCCATGCTCAGGGCGCAGGTGAGCGGCCTGCCACATCCCTGCCGTGGGGATTTGGACAATCACACAGCTCCACAACTTGCTCCCAGCCCTCAGCTTATCTGTGTTTATTTTTTCTTTGCGAGGCAGGAGGGACAGCTAAAGCAGGAAGTTTCTTTTGCTTCTACCCTAGGATCTAGTTAATCTCACGTGAGAATAACCCCAACAGTAGTGATCTTAGCAGCTACCATTTATCGAACACTTCTTATCTGCCAGGCCCTCTGCCAAGCTCCTTCTCTGCGTGCTATTTCCTTTAGTCTCCGGAACAGTTCTGTAATACAGGAGTTTCATCCCCGTTGAACATAGGAGAACACTGAGGCTTCAGGTTCGTGTCTGGCTCCAGAGTCTCGTGCCTTGCCATCGACGCCTTCGCTCTGCTGGTGTCCCCCACAGCTGTGGGGAAGTGTGGCACTGTTTACTGTTACCTTCCCCACCCGTTGACAGGTAGAGGTTAGAGCCGCAGTCGCTGAGTTCCAGCAGTGCAGGCTGGGGCGTTTCAGTGTCACGGCTTCCTGACACCCCCCCCCCCCGCCCCTGCCTTGCCCGGCACAGCTGGTGAGGCAGGAAGGGGAGTGCCCTCGGCTGGGAGTGCGGGTCAGTTCCCCCGGGGCTGCGGGGCTGCTGGGCTCCTCCATTCCTTCCCCCAGCTCACTGCCTCCGGGAGGCAGGACTGGTGACAACCACACCTCCCAGAGCTGGGTGCAGGCAGAGGTTACTGAGCAAGGTGGCGTGGAAGGACAGACAGACGCCCTGGCTTCTGGGTGATGAAGGAGTGACTCCTCTCACCCTCAGCCCCTGAGGGGTGTTCTCCACACCCTCCCTCTCACCTCTGATGGCTTTTACACCAGCGTCTGCGCCCCCCAGCCCCGCCGTCTGGTTTCTCTCCATCCATTCATGAGACCGGAAGCTCCTTAGTAGTTGCACATCACATGCATTTCTGGGGGCTTTTGTTTGTATATTGTTGAAAAGAAGATGCAGCCAAAGATATCGTCCCTCCCCACTCCCCGTCCCCCCCGACCCCCGCCGCCATGCCTTACCTCCACAACACAATGGCTTTTTTCTTTTTTTAAACTTGCACTCCTTCCAGTACACACTGTGTTCCCTACAGTGGTTCACAGGTGCTCAATGGGATCCGAAGTCCACCAGGCAAGTAGTCCCAGAGCTGGGACCAAGCAGGTCCTTGAGAGGCTCGGGTTTGTCACTTCCCTTCATCCCTGTTAGGGTTTTTGAAACCTCAGTAGAGATGTCACTCTGATGTGGAGGGCTTGGCCCGCTTCCAGAAGATGCCAACCCCCTCTGGCTCTGCAGCACTGGCATCAGGTGGGGGTCTGACCTCCTGCCTTGCGGTGTCCTGGCCAGTGACCCATAGCATGGGGTGTGGATCATGGGACGGACGAAGGGACTTCAAAAATGCCTGGAAAAATGACGTGAAAAGATAAATTTTTGTTGCAAAATTCTTTTTGAAATCCATGTGTCATTTTTTCAAAATATGCATTTTCTGTGAATTCTTTGAAGGCCCCTCATATTTACAACATTTTGTGACCATCTGAGTTTGGGAAATTATGGGTTATACCAAGTAAAAACATACTTTGTGGCAGTGCTTTTAGCATGTTAATATTTACCATGACTCTTAGAAGGAAGATTTTATTTAAAAAACAAAAACAGGGATTGGCATTGTGGGGTAGCAGATAAAACCACTGCCTGCAGTGCCAGCCTCCCATATGGACACCAATTTGTGTCATAGCTGCTCTACTTCCAATCTGGCTCCCTGCTCATGTGCCTGGGAAAAGAAGTGGAGGGTGGCCCAAGTGTTTGGGCCCCTGCCACCCACATGGGAGACCCAGATGAAGCTCCTGGCTCCTGGCTTCAACCTGGCCCAGCCCTGGCCTTTGTAGCTATATGGGGAGTAAACCAGTGGATGAAAAATCTCTCCCTTTCTCTCTCTGTAACTGTGACTTTCAAAAAAAAAAAAAAAAAAAAGGCTAGCATGTGCTGAGTGCTTACTCTTTGGTGGATCTCTGATAACTCTTGATATGCGGTTTGGAATTTATTTGAATTTAAAACATGCAGCAGTCCCCTGAGAGAGCTACATCACTCCCAGTTTAGCACTCAGGGAGGCCCAGGCCCACGGTCATAGCCCATGTGCAGGGGGCGCAAAGTTCTGTGCTCAAGCAGGCTGAGGCCAGACCCCATATTCTAAACCAGTCAGCACTTCAGAGGTCAGCCGTGAGCACGCCTTATGGTAGTGGGCACTGCCCCTCGGGTTAGCATTCACAAGAGCACAGTAGGTGGCAAATGGCTGACTTAAACTTGGAAAGTGAGTAGGGGCTGCCGGGTGCTCCAGGGGGACGTGGTTCCTCTTGCACCCCAGCTACCCTTGTCTCTGTCGCGTTCCGTGGGCAGGAGAAGCAGGCTTGGAGCGGGTGGAGTCTAGGATCCAGACCGCTGCCTCTCAGACTTGCCTGCACGTTGGCTTTCTCCCAAGGAGCTGCAAACGTGACTGACACCAGAGATTCCCGTTCCGTCCAGTTGGGGCCCAGGCTCTGGTGGTTGTAAGTGCTCTCTGGCACTTCTGATAAAGCCAGGGTTGGAACCTCCAGACACGTTCCTTTCGGATTCAATTATCACGGCTCACAGCAAAGCAAGGGAAGGCAGGCTGTTATTGTGAGTTACACAACGGCCTAACAGGGTTCAGGCTTTCTGTTAGTTGCCTTTTTCATGAATGAGTGCGTGTTCTTTCTCATCAGCCACTACTGGCCTTGTTGTAGATCCTCTCTCTGATCTGTGCTGACTATGCACGGTCAGCCTGGCATTGACCGGCCCCGGCCACAGGTTCAGCCTGGTTACCGAGGGGCCTGCTGACAAAGGCGCTGTCGGAAGGAGGAACGGCTACCACTTCGCCCAGGCCACAGCATCCGTGCTGTTGCTAGGGGAGCTGGAGCAAGAAGTGCATTCTGGGTGATAATGTTTGCTAACTGCACACATTTCTTATTGGGCGTTTGCTATCAATAATTGGCTCCGAAGAGTGTGGCTTCATTTTTAGTTGATTCAGGTGAAACTAGATAACAGAATTATCACTTGGTTTCACATTTAGGAGATATAAGCTGTTGTTTTTTTTCTGTCTGCAAAAAATCCCTCTTTAAAAGGTGTATGGGAAAATATTTACCCTTGTCCCTAAAAGACAATGACTGTTTTAACCCCAAGCTATAGTGGCCTTTTTTTTTTTTTTTTCTTAAACATATTTGTCTTTTCAAAGGCTGCTCAAGGTGGAATTCGAGGATTTCAAGACTACTTCTGTTGGTCCCCGTGAAGACGGAAGAGCCTCAGGTTGATCAAGGGTTTGTAATGGGAATGTTTCTGTTGGTTTCTTACAGTACAACAAACACCTCTTCGTGCACATTGGGCATGCCAACCATTCTTACAGTGACCCGTTGCTCGAATCAGTGGACATTCGTCAGATATATGACAAATTTCCTGAAAAGAAAGGTGGCTTAAAGGAACTCTTTGGAAAGGGCCCTCAAAATGCCTTCTTCCTCGTAAAATTCTGGGTGAGTAAGACATGGCTGTGATTTCCGTCATTTTTCTCTGAACGGCAGCAGCTCATTCGTGAGCGCTGTGTGGGAGCCTGCTGGCTGCCAGCCCCGTGCTTCCACGCGCTGTGTTCAGGCGGATGGAGCATCCCTGCCAGAGGGCGAGGGGGCTGGCGGTCTCTCTGGGCTTCGGGGCTGGCTCACATAGACTCACATGGAGAACATGGGGCACTCTCCCCTCTTCTCGCTCTGTTCCACCGGGCCTGGAGCAGGGGTGCAGATGAAGTTGGATGCCGTACAGTTTTGTAAGCCTCATCCGCTGCATACCCCATTGCGTGCTTGGACGAGGGCTCCGGCAAATCCTCCAGGGCAGGGCTCTCAGAGGAGCTTCCCTGTTCTTTCCCACAGGTGCAGCTCGGCCAGGCGCTGCCGATGGCTCCAAACAGGCTGCAGTAGAACCTGTGTGTCAGGGAGGGAGTTAGGGTGCCAGCAGGGACCAGACAGCCCGCTAGCCCTGAGGATTTACAATTCCTCAATTTTTAAGAAGCAAAAAAGAGAATTGTTTTGAATGTGCAAGCCCCTGACGTGACCTGGTTGCAGGGCGTGAGCCTCCTGGGTTCTGCCAGGCCCCCACTGCCCCACCTGGCCATCCGTTGCCCTGCCTTAGCTATGGCTCCACGCACGGTTTTCCGCTTAGGCCCCTCTGCAGGTCTGGCTCCTCCTCTTCCTGTGACACAGTGGCTCCCGTGCTGTGGCGCCTTCCTCAGTTAAGCAGAACATTGATTTTTCTTTTACTCCCATTGCATTTTGCAGTTAATCAGCGTCCATGCTGTGCCATAATTATTTGGATGTGTGTCCCGCTCCCCTCTGGACTCTGTCCCCAGGGGATCTTATTCATTTGGTAGCTTCCATTTATTGAGTGCCTGCTGTGTGCCGGGAGCTGCCCTGAATGTCTTTCATCCGATTCTGCCGGTCCTTGCAGTTTTCAGTGGCAAGTGCCTCGCATCCAACTAGGAGAACAAACTCAGATCAGAAAGCCCAGGCGAGGCTGCCTGTGGGTTGGGGACCTGGGACTGGAGATCAGATCCATTCTGATTTGAATGCCTCCGCTCCATTTCCTGGCTGCTCAGTGCCCTGAGGACCTGGTCACAGGGTCGGCAACCTAAGCCCCACTGGATCTCTAACACCAAGAGAGTGCCCTCCATAAAAAAAGGCCAGCAACTGTGGGTACAAATGGATGAGTTAAAGAAAAATTCATGCTTTAAATTCTCTAGGGGGGGATTTGCACAGTAAATTTAGTTTAATTTCTTTTACCCTGCCATGGTAGCTCGATTTTATTTTCTCTGCCTTCTTATTGAAATTTGGATAGTGGAAGTAACCTTCTACTTGAGTCAATGTTTGTGGGGTCAGTACTGCATCTGCGCCTAGCCTTAGAAAGCAGCCCACAGTCGCTTTCCTGTTCTGAGTTGGTGGTTTGAATGGTGGTTGGGGGTTTGCTTACTCTATGAAAACACCACAGTTTTCAAAATGTGCCTGGGGATTCCTCAGAATCCTTTAAATAAAGATTCATTTATTTATTTGAAAGGCATAGTTACAGAGATGGAGGCAGAGAGAGAGGGTCTTCCATCTGCTGGTTCACTCCCAAATGGCTGCAACAGCTGGAGCTGGGCTGATCTAAATTCGGGAGCAAGGAGCTTCATCCGGGTCTCCCACATGGGTGCAGGGGTCCAAGGACTTGGGCCGTCTTCTACTGCTGTCCCAGGCCATAGCAGAGAGCTGGATTGGAAGTGGAGCAGCCAGGACTCAAATGGGAACCCATATGGGATGCCAGCACTGCAGTCGGTGGCTTTACCCCCTATGCCACAGCACCAGCTCCATCAGGATTCTTGTAATGTGCTGACAAAGTCAAAGCTATTTTCATTAGAATCTTTATAGGGTTTCCCGTTGTGCTCTGTTGACACTTACAGTGATGGCACAAAGGCTAGGTGGTAGAACTGCTGACACCTAAGGAGTCAAGGCTCTGCTGCTGATACACAGGCAGTTAAAAATATGGAAAGAACCTGTCAATCCAACAGCATCCTTTAGGAATTCTGTCACTTCTTGAACCTAGAGCACACTGAAAATGTTCCCAGTGAGCCTGTCACATTGAGGGAAACACCTGGTGGTACTTGGTGCTGGCGATAAAACCCGACCTTACAAATGACAGGCAGATTTTGGGAAATCTGCATCCATCTCAGTGAACTTAGCACTTGCCAGTGCTTAAAATCTTTTCTGATGTGTTCCACGGTGATACTAGCAGAGAGGGTTTGCTCTGTGCTTCACAGACCTGTGGGTCTTCCTGCATCAGAGTGTGAAAAATGTACTGTGTGGCCTCCGAATCTACGCTGCAGTTACCTTGGAGAAACGAGTCCCAGTTGTCCAGTGCCCAGAGAAAGTGACCACAGCCTGCTGAAGGGCTCATGGCAGAATGCAAGCAGCACTGCGCATCTCACGTTTTTTAAAAAAATAGATATAGTAATGTTGAATTTTTACCAGAGATGTATATTAACATGAGCTGCTTATTTTAAAAGTGAAATACCAAATATTTTTAAATGGTTTCGGCTTAAATTTCCAATACATGAAATTAAGGTAGATATAACCTTTAGTGAATAAAAGCTCTTGAGATCCTCAGACCTTTTAAAGCATTTATAGGGGTTCTGAAATCAAAGCATTTGAGAATTGCTGTCATAAAGGAGATAAAAAGCGGTCGTTTGTCTAACTTAATTAAAAATTAATTAAAAATTATTGGATATGATGAAAAGAAATAATTTTCAGTACTTTTCAATTAAATAGTAGTGGCTTTAATGATAATAAGATTTCTTATAATTAGCATTTGTTTGAATATAAAATGATATAGAAAGTACTTAGAAAGTTTTTTTGGTTTTTGTCTCCAAAATCACCCCTGTTTTACTCAGCAGATGATTTTAATAAATGCTTTCAGTGGTGGGACCCGTAGGCATAAATCCCTGAATAATGAGGTCTAGATTGTAAATGTTTAGAATGTGGTGGCTAGCGTGAGATTCACAAAGCTAGAAACAATTACTGAGATCAGATACTTGTTTATCAAATTAAGATTTGCAGAATTAAAATTGGGCACTTTATATGATTATGTAGAAAACATTAGTCCAGTATAATTATTGGGAGTACTTAACCTTTATAAAGAAATTCAGTTATAACTATGTTAAAAGAGGGAAGGCAATTTAAATTAGGTTTGCAATTTGAAATCTCGTTGGTTTCATTTAATGACTGTAGGAGCCGGCATTGTGGCTTATCAGGTTAAGCTGCTGCCTGCGATGCCAACATCCCATATGGATGCCGGTTCCAGTCCCAGCTGTTCCACTTCCAACCCAGCTTCCTAACATACCTGCAAAAGCAGTGGAAGATGGCCCAAGTCCTATCAGGAGGTGCCTCCAGAGGGTATTTTTTAAGATTTATTTTATTTATTTGAAAGGCAGAGTGACAGAGAGAAGGGGAGAGACAGAGAGAAAGATCTTCCACCTGCAGGTTCACATCAAATGGCCTCAATAACCAAGGTTGTGTCAGGCCGAAGTCAGTTGCCCAGAACTCCATTTGAGTTTCTCACATGGATAGCAGGGACCCAAGTACTTGGGCCCTCATTCCCCAGAACAGGGAGCTGGATTAGAAACAGAGCATCCAGGACTCGAACCAGCCCTCTGATGTGGGATGCCCCTGCCGGCTCTCTAGGTAGATTTAATACTCCTGTTGAAGTACCTTTTCTATTGGCGGTCTGCTCAGCACTTGTTTTTGTGTGACTTGGTAAATTACAACAGTGACCCTATACCTAGTGCTTCTTCCCTTTTCTCCACACTTCAGTTTTCACAGTCAGGCTGTCTCATAATTTACTGGATTAGGATGTCTGCCACTTCCAGCCTGGCCTTGGAGGTTGCTGTGGAAGAAGTACTGAGCGCTACCCATAGTACCTGCAATTGTACCCCACCTGCAGGCCCCTCGGCTTTGTCAGTTTGTGGGGTTGGCCACAAGCCAAGTAGCAGTCGCCCCACTGGTTTCCAGGTGAATGGCTCTGACCGGTGGTCCAGGCCCCAGTGTGGAGATGAGCGGCAGGGCCCAGGATGCCAGTGCAGGTGCTTCCCCCACATCATCCTTTTACAGTCTCTTATACCCAAAAGCCCTTGAAAAAGACTATGTGTCTGGTGAGCTGTTTTTAAAAAGAACCTTATCGAGGGATGCATTCTATCATGTGCATCAAAATGGTTGCAACTGGACGACATCATGTTGAGTGAAATAAGTTGGACACAGAAAGACAAATACTGCATGTTTCCATTATCTGTGGGAATTAAAATTTTAAAAGATCAAAAAACAAGAGAGAAATGCCTGTGTATATCTGTTTTCCTGCCAACATAGTATTTGACCAAACTTGGTTTTTAATCTTTGTCAAATTGTAAGAATGATATACTACTCTAATTTTAATGAGCTGTGACTATTTTAAAATTTACAGTATATAAGTGAAATAGACATCTTTTCATTTGATTAGTTTATAGGACTTGCCTATACTCCTCCTGAACTATGTCTTTTCACTTCTTGTTTTGAACTCTTAAATGTGTATTTCTTTTTTTTTTTTTATTTGAAAGGCAGAGATAGACACTGAAAGAGATCTGAGAGACAACTACTTTTTTTTTAAATTTATTTGACAGGTAGAGTTATAGACTGAGAGAGAGACAGAGAAAGGTCTTCCTTCTGTTGGTTCACCCCCCAAATGGCCACTACAGCTGGCGCTGTGCAGATCTGAAGTCAGGAGCTTCCTCCTGGTCTCCCATGAGGGTGCAGGGGCCCAAGCACCTGGGCCATCCTCCACTGCCCTCCCGGGCCACAGCAGAGAGCTGGACTGGAAGAGGAGCAACCAGGACTAGAACTGGTGCACATATGGGATGCTGGCGCTGCAGGCGGAGGCTTAACCAAGTGAGCCACGGCGCCAGCCCCTGTTGAACTCTTTATTAAAT